ACACACACACACACACACACACACACATATATATATACACATACATACATGAAATTACTAATTATACATACACAAGCACACACATAATAGATAATAGAAACTTTATAATCCTTTTTATTACATTGAAGTAAATACTATACTGAATTAATTATTAAATTTACATCATATAATAATATACATTTTTTTATTGTGTTAATACAACAACAAATTTACTAAAAGTTACATTAAGATTTTTACATTACATTTAATTATGACATAATTGACATAGTTTGGAACAAATTTTGTTCATTTTTTTCGTATTTCAACATTCTATATGATAAATGAATGCAATCTGATCAATTATAAGGAACTTAACGTTACTGAATTTTGTGATCTGATATACTAAAAGTTGCTGTAAAGTTTTATATATATATACAAGGTGTCCGGTAACTGACCGAGCAACTGCCGTGTACGGGTAGAATGGGTCAAAATAATCATAAAAATTACATACCATTTTTAAGTTTTCTCAATATTTATTCCGTAATTAATTAAAATGTATAAACGAGTGAGCTCACGAAAAGCGGTAGGACAGGCTCTGTGTGTGTGCGGGCGTGTGTATATACAATTGTTAATTTTGTGTTATATGTAACATTTATTTATTAAAACTTAAAATATTGTAGCAAACTTTATTACACCTTCGGTGGGAGAGTTTTTCGATACGGTAGAGTGGGTTGGACTGAATGAGGAGGAGAGTAAGAAACTAATCGAGAAATACAACAAGGAAGGTAAGGAAGCTGGATTTGGCCAACAACAACCAGCAAAGCGAGCCCGTCTCGACAAGAACGAACCTGCTAACAGAGAGATACGCGACTCACGAAATAATAGAGATATACGAGATTATCGTGACAGGAGAAACAATTGTAAGTTGATTGTTATTAGCGATTCTTCTTGTTACCAAATAGAATGTCGCTAATAATAATAGTGTGCACTCGTGGTCTAGATCAAGACAGAGGAGGTCGCAATCCTCCTTGGCGTGGTGGCAATAATATGGGAGGTTGGAGAGGAGACAGACCGCAGAGAGGCGGCTACATGAGGCATAGCGGTGGCTATGGACCTCCCGTTCCATGGAGAATGCGAGGACGCGGTGGACCCTTGCGAGGGGTAGACCGACGAGGTGGTGGGATTGACAGAAGACAAGGAAACGATAGAAATCGACCTGTTGCAGCTAGACAAGGAAATTGGGGTCATATGAGGTAAACTTTCTTATTTAGTTTTATTAATTTTCATTCTTAGAACATTATCTCTCTTTTTGTTTTGTTACCAATTGATCATTCATTTGAATGTATTTGTTTTCGTTTCAGCAGTAGTTATCAAGGATCACAGCAGAGTGGATGGGGGGGAGGTTCCGATAATTGGTCTGGTGGCCAAACGCAAGGTAGCTGGAGTCAACAGGGATGGGGCCAACAACAATGGGGAGGCAGTTGGAAAGGATACGGCGGTCAAGGGACATACAGCCAGGCGGGGTACAGTCAGCAACAGGGCTATGGCAATGGCAATTGGAACAATTGGAACCAGCAGTATTACAACAATCAGTATTGGGGCCAGCAACAACAGAGTGGACAAACCACTGCAGCTGGCAGCCAAGCTGTAAGCAAACAATAATCCACCACGTAAATCTTACGAGAACGGAACAGAGAGTAAGGTATAAGGTGATACCCATTTTTTCGTATGCATATTATAAAAAAAAATTAGGAAAAGAAAGAAAAACCTGTTCCTTATCGATCGTTATCTTTTAAAACTTAGATATTTTATTCGGCGGATTTATGGAGTCGTATATTTGCATACTTTCCAACAAAATTTTTGAAAAGTTGCATCGTGCAGATGTAACAGATATCATAGAAACAAAATTTAGGAGATATCTTCGTAAATTAAAAAAATTTAATTTGTAACTCATTTTCTTTGAAATCCACCTGCCAATATAATCATACACGAATTTTATACTCATACATGTATACATTCGCAGGAAATTGCAAATGAAACGGTTGCAACAACCGATACGGGAGCAGGATACAGTTACTCGCAAGGTTGGCAGAGTTACACGCCAGGACGAACTACTGCCGCACAAAGTGCAGCACAATCGACCACGCAGCAGTCTCATTCACACAAATAAATAGACGTCACGATCGCATCACAGCACACGTATTCACAAGTGTTTGAATTTCTTGCAACATGTAAGTGTAACATGGAAGATTTACATCAATATAGTGACTATTTGCCATAGTTACGACAAAGAAACTTTTAGAACGGGCATTTTTATTTTTTTCTTTTATGCGTAAAAGCATTGTTATTACAAGCACTGTGAAAATACATTTGCGAAGGAAAGACGATTGCGGAGAAAAAGATCGATTTTCCTTTCGTAAGAAAAAGAAATTTTTAGCCCTTTATTCAACGATATTTATTCGAGAAAATTTCGAAAAGATTATATACGTGTATGGGTCGATAATATCTAATTATGAAATTTTTTGAATGAGATTCGTACCTCTTGTTAATATATAGGATATTATGAAATCCTGTTATTATTAAGAATAGGGATGATGTATGATGCTATCCTATTCGTACCTCTTGTTAATATATAGGATATTATGAAATCCTGTTATTATTAAGAATAGGGATGATGTATGATGCTATCCTATTCGTACCTCTTGTTAATATATAGGATATTATGAAATCCTGTTATTATTAAGAATAGGGATGATGTATGAGATATATTATCCTATGAGATAAATAATGTTAAATTGAGGGCTAGAACACGATTGATACTTGTGAGCTTCGAAGATCCTTATCGGAAACACAGGTCTAATAATCTAAGTGCATTAATGATAATGTAACAGTCATGTATGCGAGAAAAGATGTAACTTTTCATCGCGCCTTAAAAATAATGGCACATGCAAAAAAAGATGCAAATAAAGGGGGGGATATAAGAAATGTGAGAGGAAGAGTATTACGTATGGGTACATAACACGCAAATAACATTAGATCGAAAAGATACTCTTAATTACTAACCGTACACCCTCAAAGAATTGTGTAAATATGTACAGATTTAAAGTAAAAAATGGGAAAAAAAGAAAAGATTAACCAGAAAAACATTAATGATCTATTTATACAATGGATATATAGAGTTCTGTAGTGTGAAACCTTTAGACTGGGTGCCCTTTTAGAGAAAGAGGAGAAATATATAAAAACACAAATATATATATATATAATACAATATATATATATACACAGATAAACAATATATATATTGTATATCATTTCTGTCTTTATCTTTCTATACCACCGACATTGTATAAAAGGAGAATATTGTAGCGTAAATAAATTATTCTTGGACACACGTTTTATACATGCAGGTTTTTCATTGCACGAGGTGAACGAGTCAGGCAAATTAATGAAAAATATACCATCGATTTTCTTACTCTCTCTTTCTCTCTCTCTCTTTCTCTCTCTCTTTCTCTCTCTCTCTCTCTCTCTCTCTCTCTCT